TCTGGACTTCACTCTGAAGAATAGATTTGGAAGCATCAAAGTCAGTTCTATACTTCACAGAAATACCATTGTAACTATAGCAGTAACTACAATATTTCCAGCTGGGGAATGTTTAGGTGAACTATGATATACTGTCATGAGGGAATACAAGGTTATTCAAATGGTGTGGGGACTGTGCTCAACAAGCAGAAATAAGTATGCAAAATAACATCAGGATCCATGATGAAAATAATATATACCTATGTGGAGCCCAGAGAGTTAAAATAGCATCACTTTCAAAGTATAGTCTCCAGCCCCACGAAGACAGAGGAATTGGGAGTTTTCAGTCTGCAAATATTGGAAATACTTAAATATTGAAATCAAGACTTATGACTTAGAAACTTCGATAGCAACTCTACAGTTTACAGTTTAAAATACTTGACAAAGATGGGTTTGTATTGTTTAATTTCATTTTTTAATTGGTATTCACTTTCATGTAATTTAACAATTCACTTTTATTGTATTTCATAATTGTCTGAACTGAAAAAATAAGCTTCCTCACAAATAGCTTGAGAAACACTTTATATTGAAGTGCTAAGTATATTCCACTAAGTATGTTAACACTTTTTTAAGTGTTTATAGACATACAGCTTTATGGCAATAAAAGGCTATATGATATCTGGTCAGTGACTTGCTTTCAAATTATTATCTTTGGCCAGAATGAGAACTGTTTTATTTTGGGGGGGGGGTTGTTTAAGCAACTTTAAATATCAAATACCCTTTGAGGCTGTAGGGGTGTAACAACAATTTTGTTTAAATGACATTATCATTGCTGGCACATAATTTAAAGGGGCGGGAAAACAGTTCTACAGGAACATGCCCATTAAGTCCTATGCAGCCAAATAGAAATGTCAGGATCTTCCTTCACTTAAGATGCAGGGACCAGTGCACTGATGCATGAGAAAAGAATTTGATTTACAATTTGAAGGAAAACCAGCAGTAAAATAATTGAGAGCTGGAAAGCAATCTCACTCCTGCCAAATAGCTTTCCTCCATGTGTACTCCATTTAGGGTGAGATTCAGATACTTACATTTAGTTTGTGCATATTTTCTCCCTCCTGTGACTATTTCATCCTGTCAGATTAGGACTGTTTCTCTGCTGTGACCAACAAAGGAAAATATCCAAGCTACCCAGCATTGGATTATCCTAGGAGCTTTATAAAGAGAAAATAGTTGATTTTTTTTTTTAAGTGCAAAGGTGATAAGCTGGCTGTTAATAGGAATAGTCCTGGACCCTAAATTTGCAAAATCCTGGGTTTCTTTCAAATATCCTTTAATTAGGATCCAAGAGAGTCACAGGTGAAAAGTAGCTTGAAAATTATAAAGTGTATTTGGCAAAATCTTTTAACTACCAACACTGCTGTGGCAGCTACTGCTGCTTCAGTAGTGAGTGACAGATTTAATGAATATGAGCCTTGGTTGATTTATGGCTTGCCTTTCCCATAAAACATTCGTGGGCTAGGAGATCTTCCTCTCTTCTAGAAATTAAGCTTATATTCATGGATGCATAAGTACACTGTTATATGGCCCAACATCCACTTACATGTATGTCATATTTATTTATGGTTTTTGACAGTCCGACAAAATTTGGCTTAAAAGTTGGCTTCCTGTGCCATGCATTTTGCCCATGGAAGCACATTTCTAGGCTTTATGCACAGCAAGAAGTTAAAGATCGAAAATATCCAAGGAACCCTATTTATCTATCTTGTTCACGTTAGATTTGCTTTTGGTTTGCTTACAGGGAATGCAAACCTGATACTCATTGGATAATGTCTCATGGGAGCCTCTGACACATTGAGTTGTAATCAAAATTCTCATACAGTCCAAATATAAGGTCCAGCATGTCCCAGGAGCAAGGGGTAAAAGTATTGAAAAGTAAACAGGAATAGACAATGCAAATTTAGGCTTAAGCTGAGAACATGCCTGTTTTAATTTCTTTTAAAGATTTTTATTTATTAATGCATACAGAAATGGGGTATAGACAAGAAATGCAGGGGCTGTGAGAGGCTTCACCAGAGACAATGGGGAGCAGAACAGGCAGATCGACAAAGTACACTGCTGAGGGAACAGTGGACAAGACAGGAGAGGTCCGCTGTGCCATGTGGGTCACCTCCGGGGCAGGGATCGAACTCACACTGAAGTGGCCATGGCTTGGCTTAGCTTTGCAGTGTGGTGCCACGAGGGAAGGCCCGCCTGTTTTAAATTTAAAAATTGGTAGTAAGTCAGAACTGTTGTACTCTGGGTACCTAGAGGAAGATCGAGATGAATATGAAGGGGCTGCTTATTTTAAAAAAAAAAAAAATTACAGAACCACAAGCTGTGAGCTCTCAAATTGACAGTCTGTGACTCTCCTGGCCATTCATTGTCCCTTGAGAGCAAGATCTTCTAGAGCTGATCAGTGCTCACACTACTGTTTTTCTCTCAATCCTTCAGCTTTTATTCAAGAGGCGACATGTTCTTTGAATGAAAAATAAATGTGCCTTTGTCATGAACCTGAATCAGACCGTAATTCGATGTTGTCCTGTATCCAACTAGGGGGATTTTCAGAGCAGCTAATGAAAGATGGTGGTACAGAAGTTGAAGTGCAGGTGCTATGCACATGCATATTTACATGCACATGCAGACACACATCCTCACAAAACCCCTGTCCACACACACGCCAGAGAACCGGCTCCTGCAGTGATGAGGGTGGGTCAGGAAAAACAAAGCATCCTGGAGAAAAACATGAGGTACAACAGAATTTAAGCATCTCACCTAAAACTCATCTATGTGCATTTCTTTCCCCATCTTTTGATGAAAAGCTTTATTTTCCCATCAAGTGAGGATTTCCAAATGCTTTCCAAAAGCAAATGAGGCTTTTCTTGAGTAGCAGTGTGATGATTTGAGGAAACTCCAGCGCTCTTGCATAATGGTGCTCTTCAGGAATCAATCTGGCACAGCCACACCAATTTCCTAAGTGGACTGAGCGCTGGGGCACCCAGGTAGCCATCTGTGCAGAATCAAGCAGGACTCTCAAGACTTAGGTTACAGGTTGGACAGTTATCTTACCCTCTTACCCACTTAACTAGACAGTGTTTAGCAGTCCCCCTATATCTCGTCTCTCCAAAGACTTCAACTGTCTTTTTCACATGCTACTATCTTTTTTCTCTCACCATTTATATATTTACCTATTAATGCACCAGGTTTTGTGATTCTTGTATAACAAAATGGTATTTACATTAAGCAGCTTGGGGAGAAAACTCAACTGATGCTCTGAGCATACAAATTCAAGGGTTTCAAACAGACATGCATAGGCATAATACAGAACTACCTACTACTTTTCAGTCTACTTTGCAAACAGACTGGCCGTGATTTTTATTTAACCCTGCTTTTCCAATCTCTAAAAGGCTCATACTAAAATACGTGACATATTTTCAGAACATTATAGAATCTGATGTACATTTTTTCACTAACTTGACCTCTGACTTCATCTTTAACATTTTTCATTGAAGCTTATGATATCGTCTTTTCTACGACTAGAGAACCTAGACGTTTACTTGGATGACAGTGGATGCTGTTAATAGGTGTTAGTTTTGCTGCGGTAGGCACAGCAGAGTCCATGTCTTATAAGAAATTAGTTCCTAAAATTAACACATGAGGAAAATATTTTGTTAAAATTATCCTTGAACATCCCTTGAAGATGTTGTAGTTGAATGCAAGACATGTCTTCAGAGATTTAGAACACCCAATTTTTTCATAAGCTTTGGAACATATTTTGTCACCTGTCAGATGAAGTCTTTTGGCTTGTCTTCAGGGGCGCAACTCACAAGAGATATATTTACAAATGAAGTGATGGGATGGTCAGGGTCTGAGTGAATCCTGGGAACCGAGGTGGATACCCCTCAGTGAGGAATTATAAAGCACATCTTGGCTGCTCTTAACTGAGGCATACCTTCATCCCTTTTGGATTAGCTTAAGTCTCATCTTCCTGAAAGATGAGGGCAAACACTCATTACATCCCCTGTCCATGTATTCACACAGGACACGCAGCAATTTTTACTTAAAGCAAAATAGAAATGGAAAAATCTCCACTTGCATTTCCAACCAATTAGTGTGCTTTTAATTTTTTTAATTCAGTGTTTCAAAAATCTGCTGCACTAGCTAAGTATGTAACCGAGTTCTTGAGTGGCCATAGTACTTACTAGAAAACAGATTTATACAGTCATGTGGTACTTGAATTACACAAGTTTCTTCGAACATTAAACTTTCAGAAACATTTATGAATTTGGAATGTCAGGATTCATTCTTATTTGGCCTAAACCATGGACTTCTTGATCTTATGACTAACTTTAAAACTCTTGGTAAAAGACAGTCTATATTTCACATATGTCCTATGAGTACACTCAAACTTGTTAGTCTTCACAATGGAACTGCAGCTAACATCTATATTTGTGTTTTCCTCAGTACACTATTTAAGACTTGTTTGGGTTTTATGTCCCCACCTATGACCAATTTTCTTTATTCAGAATGCCTTCGCTGGACTGTTATTTAGTTTGGACAAATTTATGTATGCTAACACTGCACACTTGAGATGGTGATGCCGAGGTCACCCTGTTTATTGTGATGGCGGCAGGATTACATAGCTCAGTATCAGAACATGGGCTTGGCATGAAACTGCCTGGTTTTCAATCTGGCATCACTTAAGTAAACATGAAGCCTCTGGCTATTGATTCAATCCCCATACATCTCAATTTCCTCTCTATCTGTGATGACTGAATAAATGAACCTATCTAGAACATATGAATGGGTCCTCATGTGCTGTAAATTTTCAGGTTATCATTATTAATCTTGACTTTGTTGTGTACGTGAAAACGGGATCCACAAGCAGTGAATGCCAACAAATATCACGTGACTGGCTAAAATGCAGGTGTCACTCCTAGACATGCGGGTCTTTCACCTCCTCCCTCCTCTCACCCATGCAGGTGGCTCCAGCCATTAAGGAGAGGATGATGAAGAAAGGCAGCATGATGCTGAGCTACCAGCCCCACCGGGGGAAGGTCAACTTCTTTCGCCAGGTGGTCATCAACCCTCAAGTGAGCCGGGAGGACATGGACTTCCTCCTGGATGAAATAGACCTGCTGGGTAGAGATATGTAGCCATGGTTTTTGGTCCCCCAGAGGCCACCAGGCATCTGGGGATGCATAGAGATCACAGTTCTTCTGGTGGGAATAGGAAACATGCCCCATCCAGGCCCAGCAAAAGCAAAATGCTAAGCGAATAACATTAATGATTCTTTAGCTGCCGAGGTACTATTGTCTATGAAGCAGGAAGAAGAAAATGGATTTGCTCAAGCAATGTCCCTGAGACAGGTCCTCAAAAAGAGTGTAGCGACGACAATGTGGGTTGTAAGCTGTCATTGAACTTTAAAGAATATATCAATTAATAGTTTGAAGCAGTGGCTTTCTGCATGTGGCCACTAGATTAGTAGCAGCAGTATCACTGGGAGCTTGTTAAAAATGCACATTCACAGTTCTGACCCAGGCAGACTGAATCAGGAGATCTTTGGGTGGAGCCCAGTGTTCTATAGTTTTATGAGCCCTTCAGGTGATTCCAAGGAGGCAAGGGGAAATCTGAGAGCAAGACATTTAGTGAAACCTTGTAATGACTGAGTAATCACTCTTGAGATTTGCTAGTAAAGGGATAGCTACTATTTCAGTGAGCCCGGAAACAGTCTTTGAAAGTACTCTGGTATCTGAAGCACACATATTTAGGGGCATCAGACATTTGTCAAAGCTATTTTTTAAAAGGGAAACTATGTAAGATGTTGACCTTATATAGATATATCTTTAATGCAGGCTGAATGGCTGAATGTTTACTCCAAAAACTTAAAATTAACCATGTTCTAATTATTTAAATTAGAAATAAGGGTAAGAGTCCTAATTAGCTAGCAACCATCCTAATTTACTTCCCCAAAACATCCATGTTATTAGCTGGGAGTGGACATTTGATATGTCTCTATGTACATTTTTGTTGTTTTGAGAGTACCTCTTCATATCTTGTCCTTTGCTTATAGGAAGTAACCAGAATGAATGAAGTACAAGATTATAAAGCATTCCCATTGTCAAACTTTGAAATGTCAGTATGGATTAAGTGGTTTATATTGGGCAGAAAATCTGGGAATTGGTGGTCTTTCAGTGCAGGCTCCTCCATTTCCCCTGGGAATGGATGATTGCAATTCTATCTCTGATTCCAGTCTTAGATTTATGGGACACTATCATTTGTCTAAGAAATAAACAGGAGTCAAAGGTCTGGGTGCAGAGTATGAAAAGGCAAAAATTATGAATCTAATTAGAGCTCTGACTTGGAAGGCAAATGATTGAAGAGTGTTTGAAAATTACACTTTGCATACAATGACCTTTTCATACCACATCAACTTATATCATTGAAACTTCAAAAATCTTAAAGCAGATGTGTAATGTTTGTTTTCATTCTGTTTTGCGGTGTGTGTGCTTTCTCAGTATCTCCATTGGTCAAAGGGTATTTTAAATCTGTCACTGAATTACTTCAATCTCTAGTGATAACTGTGTACATATTTGTGTGTGTTACATTTCTTGTTGCCTCTTTGTTTTAATGTTTACATAAATGCCCTGATATTGATGTTTGCAATCATTTGGGTTTCATGAAATAAAAAGCAACAATAGCACACACTGAGTGGCATTGACTTTTCTTGTCATCTCCTCTTTGCTAAATTGTAGCAAGACATTTTTAGGAGCAAATTGGGCTCCACTGGCCTTTTAGCGAAATAACAGAGTAGGTTAGAAGCCATCTGATTTTGTAGTTAACACTTTGAATAAAATGGAAAAGCT